CTTTAGTGCTTTGAAAGTCAACCGTTCAGTCCTATCTTAGCCTGAGCTAAAGTTTACTAAAAATTTAAATCATGTGCCCATATACTGAAAGAGTTTAACAAGATTTTTTAAACTAATAATGGTGTTCATGCACTACAGTGAGAAATTATTTTGAAATGTTATTATGAAAATATATAATAGTATATTAAAATGCTTTTGAAAAATAAACTTATTTTAGAACAGTTTTAGATTTATAAAATTATAATGAAGACAGTACAAAGAGTTCTCCTATACCCTACACCCAGTTTCCCTTATTGTTAACGTCCTACATTAGTGTGGTACATGTGTCACAGTTAATGAACTAACATTGATACCTTACTATCAACTGAAGTCCGTACTTTACTCAGATTTCCTCAGTTTTCACCTAAAGTCCTTTTTCTGTTTCAGAATCCCATGCAGAATACACATTACATTTAGTCATTGTGTCTCCTTCAGCTCCTCTTGGTTGTTTCTCAGGCTTTCTTTGTTTTTCATGACCTTGATGGTTTTGAGGATTATTGGTCACATATTTGTAGAATGAAAATGGATTCTTTTAACTTTTAAATTTTATTTTAAACCTTTACATAAAAATTTTAAACATACACAAAATTAGAGAATAGTATAATGAATCCCCATGTACCCAGGACACAGCTTCAATAACTATCACTAATTTACTAAGTTTATTCTATCTAAACTGTCTGACTCCCAACCCCCAAAGATTTTAAAGCAAATCCCAAATATTTCATCTATATATGCTTCAGTTTATACCTCTAACAGGTAAGTCATTTAAAAAAAACACACTCACAATGTCATGATCACGCGTAACACAGTTAAAGATAATTCTGTAATATTTAATAGTTGACCTGTGTTCAAATTTCCCCAAGGGTCCCAGAAATGTCTTGTTGAATTTATGTATTCAAATCAGGATCCAAACGAGGTTTATATATTGAAATTTTGTTTATTTGAAAAATGGGACTTTTGTCTCAGTATTAGCTGGGACCAGAGACTGAAAAGAAAACAACAGTTACACCTACACTTCAAGGTGAGGCGCTAGACTACCTATGTGGTGCAAAAGGGCTGTTAAAACCGGTTTTAAGATCCTTAGCCCCACACTCATCTCAGGCTTGAGAGGATTTCTTTGAGGAAAGATTTGGGAGAGCAGTGGCTTCTCCCTCTTCTCCCCTCTCCCGCCATGGGAGAGAGAAATGGGGGTGGGGAGGTTGGGGGTGGTTTGCCCTTCACCACATGCCCAGAGAGGGTCTTTAAAAGAGCCACTTTGAGAGCTTGGCATTTAGTCCCTGGAGCTAGAAGGGACTGGTATTTGACCCATACCTGAGGAAAGTAAAGGGGAAAGGCTGAATAAAACACCTGCCAAGCAGAGCAAAAGCAGGTGGTTGAATTCAGAGCAAACTGCACTTCTATCAGTGGGAGGGCACAGATATGAGTCCCCACAATCAGATCTGCTCCAGTGGTCATTTTAAAAGGGATCCCACCCACGCAGTCTTCTTGCTGGGGGCTAGTCTCTCTCAGCAGAAAGAGGTTGGAGGTGTAGCATTCAGTATGGAAGCTGTGATGGGGGTGTGAGTGCACAGCCAAAGTACAGGCATTGGCTATAAAGGGAGCAAAAGCCGGGAATTCCTGGTGGGGAAAAGCTCTGAGTCCCCCCAGAAAGGATCCTGAAAAACAGCTAATCAGCTGTGAATGTCTACCAATCCTGACAGCCCAACCTGGACTCCAAAAGTACCTATTCCTTCCAATTCTCACCTGCGAAGGGGGAAACTAAGGCAAGGGGAGGGATCAACCATGCCCCCTCCCCGCCAGCCTACGTAGTACCAAGCTGGGACAGGAAGCAGCTGTAATTTAAGTGCACTTCTGAATTTTGAATATCAAATTGAACTGAGATAAAGAAAAATGATTTCAAACCTGGCACAGAATTTCCTTCTGGGGAGAAATATGCTTTCCTGATAAAATGCTTAAGCAATTTTCAGATAAATTGTAATGAGATGAAAGCCTCTTCTGGGAAGCCAGCTACTTCCTCAGCTAACAGACTGGTGTCTAACGATTGTGAATCAAGTTTAGCAACAATTATCTAACCATTGCTTTACCTATAAAGTATTCCTTCCATGAAGGAATCATTAAATTGGTTTGTTTAGGCCTCTTCAATTGTGGCAGTTGACAATCTGTATTCTGTTGAGTCCTGCTCTTTCAACACAATGATTACAAAAATATTTCAGGGGTAGAGATATGTTGACAGATAAGGTAATTTTGGTTGTCCCTGAAATCAATTATACCTGATATCAAATTTCTGAGAAATCACTCTCAATTGATCTTTTGTGGTGATAAATTAGAGATTTATAGGTGGTACTTTGTCAATTCCAATGTCATTTGGACACAGAGACTGTACTGTCTGCCCCTCTTTCACAGGTTCTGGGGCCTGGTCATTTTTTATGCCCGTATCATATAGGCAGGGTTTTCCTTTTCCATGTATTACCTTAAACATGATCCTACGCCACACACAAATTGTTTTAAAGGGTTCAAGGCATGATTTGACTAGGTTTTAATTTCAAGCAGCAGTAACAGAAAGCCTAGTCATTCCAAAGCTATTGCTTAGGTTACAAAATGAAAAACGTTCATCTAATCTAATCATGTATTGTATGTGAAGAGCCTGCTTGCATTTGTTTGCATCAGAAGCCAAATAATCATACACTCATACAGTGGTGGCAGTGCTATATTTAAACTGGTACAGCCCTTTGAAAAACGATTTGGCAGCATGTATCAATGACAATGCACAGTTACACCCTTTGATTTGGTATTCTAACTTCTATCCTAAGTAATTTAAAAATATGGGATGGAAGCCACACATATGAATATTTCCTTCACAATATTTTTTATGATAGAGAAAAATTAGAAACCGAGTTTGTAATAACAGGGAATTAGGAGGTAAATTTACAGTTATATCCACTTCAAAGAACATCATGACATTACTAAACTATTCATTGGAAAGACTATCACGTGGAAAAAGAGAATAAAAGTTGAATTTATACCATGATTTTTACTTACAAAATGTATATATATAAGTGAATACACAAAAATGATAAAGTTTATGTTAAGGTTACAGATGATTTTTTTCATTCTACTTTCAAAAATTTCTCTATGCATAGATCTTTCTGTTATTTAAGATTAGTTTAATATTAGCAACATCTGCTTAAAATTTCTAAAGTCTTAGAATCACATATTATTGGCAATCCATGCTGAAACGGTACATAAAAATTTCCGTTTGCTAATGTTCTTCTGCAGACAGTAAAGTTTTTAGCTAAGCAACTGTCAATTGTTGCTGTAGCACCTCTAAAATTACAATAAAGCTACATAATAATTGGCAAAGGCACTCTTGGGTAAATGTAGAGAAAAGTCAAAGATTGATTAAGAATAGGACGGGGCTGGCCTGGTGGCACAGTGGTTAAGAGCACACATTCTGCTTCGGTGGCCCGGGGTCCACTGGTTCGGATCCCAGGTGTGGACATGGCACCACTTGGCAAGCCATGCTATGGTAGGCATCCAACATATAAAGTGGAGGAAGATAGGCATGGATGTTAGCTCAGGGCCAGTCTTCCTCAGCAAAAAGAGGAGGATTGGTGGCAGATGTCAGCTCAGGGCTAATCTTCCTCAAAAATAAATAAATTAATTAATTAATTTAAAAATTAAAAAAAAGAAAAGGAAAATAGCTTTCCCAGTCAGCAACAGGCCCTCAACCCAGTTCGAGACTTTACTTTTTGGAAGGCACAGTACTAGTCAGGAAGACACTAAATAATTAGGATGAAATTATTTACTTGCACAGGCAGCTGAACAGGATAAGGGAAGATTTGGGAATAGGAAGAGGTAGTCCAGATAAAGTAGATCCAAGAGCAAAGATTTTTTTAAAAAAACGTCAGGGTATGTTCAGAGAGCAGAATGATCCAAAGTGTCCTAAGGTACCTATAAACTATAGTATGGGAATAGCAGTGGAGGCTGAAGACCTTCAGTTTTACTCCGAATGCAGTGTAGAGACTCTGAAGATATGCCGTGAAAAGAATGACATAAGATCTATGTTGTTTCCAGAGTCTTCATGGAATGAACTGGAAGGGAAATGAAGATATAAGTTGTGAGGTCTCTGCTATCAACCAAGATCTTCATTACATAAAATCATCTGGATTAGCATTTCCAGAATACAGTTTACTTTAAATGACTTAACCACATTCTAACCAAGTTTTAGATGATTTTTGGTGTTCCCTAATAGAATTGGCACACAATATTGAATCAGATTGGAGAGGATTATTTTAACTCTGTGGCCAGATGCACAGAAAGATGTAAAGGTACTGAAGCCAACAAACATGTTGAGAAATGCAAATTCTCACAAGTAAAAAGATTTGGAATTCTAGAAGGCAGCAGATTATCAATAGCTGTATCCAGATTCTTGTGGGTTGCTTTAAATTAAGATTTCATAAGAGCTCCCCAGGAAGTAAAATCCTCTAAGTATAACCTTTCGGCAACTGGGATGTTGCTGGACAATGATCAAGACTCTAAGAAAGCTGTATGAGTGACCAGCAGCCAAGATGACTACGGTTTGTTTCCACTAGCATAAGAGGTTAGACTTTTAAAGTTTCTTGCCCCCCAAAATATCACAATCCATTTAGAATATGGATTTAGACCCAAAGCCTTTCTTACTCAATAGAAGAGATGAAGAGGATGCGGGCATCACCTTCAGAATTGGCTCAAAATCCCCAGATAGGTTGGCAGTCGCCTAAACATTTAATAGAAACTAACTCACCAACCAAATACCCTCAACCAGCAAGCTGGCAGGTCTTTCATTTCAAAGACAATCATTTTGGGGTACCAAACTACTGACATCTGGGCACAGCATCCGGCTTTTATTTATAGACACTGAGAAACGACCACCAGGGTTCATCAATCGCAAGAAGCGCTGGCGGCGCCTCCCTCGCAAGGAAGCCGGTCGGGTTCGCCCAGAAGGAGGCGGAGGGGACGGAGGCCTCGGGCACCGGGCCGCGCGGCCTCTTCCCGCCAGGCGTCCCCAGCTGCCCTCGCTCCCGGGCCCCGCCATCTCATTTGCCGCCTTCCGACGCGTGACTCCGGCGCGCTCGCGTCCCGGGCCGGTGACAGGCGCGGGGTGCGCCCAGCGGCTCCATGTGCCCCCTCCCTCTCGCGGCCGCCGCAGTCGCCGGGCCCCGAAGCCAGCTCCGGCTCCTCGGCAGAGGGCTCGCCGCCGCCATGTCTACCGCCAGGCCCCTCAAATCCGTGGACTACGAGGTGTTCGGGAGAGTGCAGGGTAGGGGACGCCCCCCTACAGTGGGTGCTCAAAGAGCTCTTAGGGGAGGAAGGGAGAGGCTGCGAGAAGCGCTCCCCATCTTGGGAAGCCACTTCCCCGTGTTGGCCGGGACTTCCGCTGGGCCATGACTCAGCAGCCGCGGGGGAAGGGGGCGCAGCGCGCCTGCGCCGGAGAGCTGGGGTGGGCGGGGGAGGAGAGCGGAGGACGCGGGGGACGGGGGCAGAGGGGAGGGAGGCGGGAGGAGAGGCCGAGGAGAGGGAGACAGGAGGCACGGAGATGGAGAGAACGAAGCTGGCTAGGAAAGAAGAGAGGCCCTTGAGCTAGTGGTCCACGTCACATGCCACTCAAACTGCTGGGCTTGACTCGAGTTCCAGGAAGGACGCCTAGATGATATCTGAGGCTGCACTTTGTCGGAGATTATACTTTTTTTTTTTCTGTGTAGCACTTAAGAGAATTACTAAATTGTTATGTAATTTTTATTTCACCGTAAGTTTAAATAGTTCTGAAGGATGTAATGTCTGGCTTATTGTAACTATCCTTATTTCTAAATTAAAATGTTGAGTCACTCTGAAATTTATCCAGTGGACTATAAATAGGGTAGTGATTTAATATTGACCGTCATTCACTTAAAATGAAGCCTTTTAACAGTGGGAAATTTTACCTCGTACATTTTCCTTTTTTGAATTTGATTTCTATTCCCCTTCTCAGAATTCTGTGTGTGTGAGAGGAAGATTGGCCCTGAGCTAACATCTGTGCCAATCTTTCTCTGTTTTATGTGGGATGCTGCCACAGAGTGGCTTGACAGAGAGATGCTAGGTCTGCACCCAGGATGCGAACCTGCAAACCACGGGCTGCGGAAGTGAGCAAACTTAACCGCTAGCCAGCAGGCTGCCCCTCTCCTCAGAATTTTATCCCATACTTGAGAGTTTTATTGATCACCCTCTCAAACTTTTCTGCAATATGTATTTATAATATGTTATGTGTATATACATACACATATAAATATATTTTCTTAATTTCCTTTGGCTAAAAGCTCTATTAATTTTTTTTTCTTCTGGCTTGAGTTACTATTGTGATTATTAGAGCACAGTTGATGAAAATAATACAAATACATTTAAAAGTATGATAAATATTATTAAATATAAAAAGTGAATTTGTATTGGAAGTTTATTTCTTAAGGAGAAAGCTGGGGGTATTTATGGAACCTTGATTAAAGGAAAGGTTGAATTATCCTGTTGTTTTGGTACTCTAGAGGTTTTTACACTTTGGGGTGATGTACCAGGGTAAGGTTAAGGGTGAGTGAGAGTATGCCTTTTGTAAAGAGATGGACCTTTCTTTCGAAGGGTGATTGTGAAAAGGGGTGTAGGAAGGAGAACCTCAGCAGACCACAGGTGCCTTCTCAGACAGGTCAGTTTTAGGGAAGAATACATATGGAAGTTGAAGGTCTGGAAACTGATTCCCTTAAAGTTATCCGAGGCTTTGTACCCTTTAGAAAGTCTTTGGGTATACCCAGGGCATGGTACTCTGGATTGAAAACTGCCACAATAAGTCATTGAAACACATTACCTAAAGTATGAAAATGATGGCAAAGATCACCTAGCAAAATATTTGGTCTATTGGACAGAGATGGCAGTAGTTAAGGAATGTGTGTGAGTGTATGCACATGTGTGACGTTTACTGAGGGTGTCCTGTATGCTGAGCATCTTACTATTATTTGCCTAATTCTCATCACAATTTTGTGAGATATATGTCTTATTCTTATTTTAATAGTGAGAAAACAAGGCAGAGAGAGGTTCAGTGACTTGGACAAGCCCTTATCGACATATAGGATTTGACCCTGCATCTCTCTAACTCTGAAACCTGCACTTTTCTATTATACAATGTTTTTTGTTCATTCATAATGTATTTCTATTGATTTTAACTATATAATTGCACTTTTGTGCATATGATGGTCAAATGGTATATGAAGATTGATTTTGGACAACAGTGCAATTATAGAAAAGAGAAATATACTATACATAAACAGTGGGGTTTAAAAAAATCAGCTTTAGGGCAATAACTCATATAGTTTGCATTTTGTTAAATGGCAAAGAGTACATGCATACTATTGACTTATTAAGATAGAGTATGTGGGACAAATTCACAGTCACATATTTGCACATATATACACTGACATTTGCTGAGAACTGAGGATGTGCCAAGCTCATAACTCAATATTTTACATGCATTGTCTTATTTAATCCTCAACCCTGTGACCTCAGCCATTTTCCTCCCTTAACAGATGGAGAAACAGGCATAGAGAAGTAACTTTCCCAGGTTACACAGAGAGTTAAGTGGTGGCACTGGGATTTGAACCTTGACAGTCTGATACGAGAGCCCATGCTCTTAATCACAATAACCTATTGATTCTCCTCTCAGTACTCTTTCCACCTTTATTTTTCTTTCCTCCTAACCTGTGCACTGAACACATATACAGTGATGCAGAACATTTGGACCCAGCCGTTTTGACCATTCCAGATGACCCTGAGGATGTTTTTGTGATCCTTTTCACTCCGAGGAAGTTTGATCTGGTCAATAAGCAGTTGGCACACTCACAAACTACAGCCTCTGACTCTCTGTCTGTTGCTTGATGTGCCATATTTCTGTATATATAGTGTATATGCCATATACAGTGCCATATTTCTGTATATCAGTATGTGCCTCACAAAACTGCTCACAATTTTCTTGTGGATTACCTAAGGCTAATAAACCATTAGTCTTTTATTGGAGTCATAATGATTATGGAGAAATTGACAATAATAAAAAATAAAAATTCTAATTTTAGGGGCCAGCCCCGTGGCCAAGTGGTTAAGCTCGCGCACTCCACTTCAGCAGTCCAGGGTTTCGCCAGTTCTGATCCTGGGTACAGACATGGTGCCATTCATCAGGCCATGCTGAGGTGGCATCCCACATGCCACAACCAGAAGGACCCACAACTAAAAATATACAACTATGTACTGGGGTGCTTTGGGGAGAAAAAGGAAAAATAAAATCTTAAGAAAAAGAACATTTTTAATTTTAATATAAAATGAGCAATAATGTTTCTATAAATGTTTAATTACAGTTACATCTGGAATAATATAATCTGAAAATTTGAAAGGGAAATGGACTGAGCCGTGTAGAGGTTCTCTACCAGTTCTCAGGTGAATACTAACGACACTCTTAGAAATGGATTGTGACAGTCTGTTGGTTTACCTATGCTTTAGAAATTTAACAGTTTGTTTTGACAGTATTAGCTCAGATTTGGAATAGGAATAGCTTATTGGACTACAGCAATAAATAGCAATTGTCTTTAAGATTGCTTAAAATGAAAATTGGGATGAATTATTAAATAGCTTTGTCAGACACCACGTGATTTAGGTGGACACATTTTTCCTTATGTAGACAGGTAATGGAAAAGCTGTATTTTAGAGGGTGAAAATTTTAGTGTGTTGAAGGCAAGAAACGTAAATACGGTTAACTCTGATTCCCTCTCTCATCTTTGTTCCTGTAGCATTTCATTTACAGTTGTGTTCTACTTGTTTTTGCTTCTCTTTAGTCCATTCTGCTGTCAACTACAGTTATTTATGTACACTTATGTGTGTCTCTCACTAAACAATAAGGATAGCATTTTGAAGGTCAAGCTGGTGGCTTGTTTCTATATCCTCTACAGACTATGCTTCTGGTGGGGACTTCAAAAGTGTCTTGAATTAAATTGAAGTGCTTAGGGATAGTTGGCTTGGAGAAGAAACAGTAGTGTGATGGCTGTTTTGACTCTTTGAAAGATGCCATGGTGTGTGGCTCCAGGGGACAGACCCTGGACTAATGGTGAAAGGTTAAAGTGAGGCAGAATTTTATTGCATATAAAGAAAGCCTTTCTAACAATTAAAGATGTTGAAAATCATTAAGGCTTGTAAGGTAGTGACTGGGTGACTTCTTGCATTCAAAATTGACACATGCAGTCAGATCCCAGGATGAATAGGTACATTATGATATGAAAATGTGGTTCTGCATGAAAGGATGCTGACATTTAAAATTCATCATATGGTTTCTTTAAATATCAATGTTTCTTTGTAGATCTTAAAGTACAACTTGCTTTGCAAATATTCACCGCAGAGTTTCTCACTGACACGTCTTTCCACAAAATGAGGTGCAGTGGCTGCTGATGGAGCCTTGACTGAGAAGCATATTGTGCTTGAGTCTTTCGTAACTGAAGGCGCTGCTGTCTGTCCCAGTTTCCAGAGCAGTGTGTCTCTAAAAAACCTGCATGTGTCATATCAGCTTCCCTTCTCTTTAGCAAGTGAGGTGGAAGCAGTGTGGGGAGGCCATGAAAGCCCGTAGAAGCACTTCTCCAATACAAGCCCTGTCCTGGGAGTGCTCTGTTTCAGCCAGTGCTGATAAACTGCAGGAGATGTCTCCACATTCACTTTTTCTTTCTCTATGGCCCTCCCTCTGTTGCACAGTATGCTTCAAACTAGGGATCAGGACTCAGAAAGAGTCTGATAAAATTCTAAGTGGATTATGGGGCTTTCAGTGGTTAATTCCTGCATGGTTTACTGCTTCCCAAAATTAATGGGCTGGAGGTCCTGACACCTCTTGATGCACCTTCCTTCTAAGGCTTTAAAATAAGGATTTTGGTTGAGGGGCCCAATAAACAGCACCCTTCTTCATTATGTGAGTTATTGACAAGTAAGACAAAATAAAGCAGCGTTTTGGGGATGTGGTGTATATCTTCAAGCAAGTGGACTTTATAATAATCTGTACTGCAGAATTAAACACACCCACCCGGGCACAGGCAGGGCTGTACTAGGGCAGGCTCCCTGATGGGCAGAGCAGAAGGTATGATCCCTGTGGGTAACTCGCTCCCAGGAGAAGGATGGAGAGGAAGCACCTGGGCTATGCGCTTTCTCCTTCCCAACTTACCTGTTAGATAAGTCAGCATGTCCCTGAGGGGGAGTCAGGGACAGGGTAGAGAGTGGCCA